CCCCCCCAAGTGTCAAAGAGGCATTATACAGATTTGAGCTAAACCCATTTCCCTCCACGCAACTGAAAACTGCTATTAGTAACTGTATTTTCCATGCTTTTAGCAAACTAGTAAACCATGCACAAAGTCGTAAAATAAACCAGCAGGCAACACATCTTTAAAAAAATCTATAAATATCTCTACATACATCTAAGAAAATGTGTAAAAGTGAAGACTATAGACAAATAATTTTATATACATAAATTATGTGAGGAGGCGTGGGATTCGGGGGGGGGATCGAGTGCATAGTAGTATCATGTATTAGTGTACATGTGTGCGTGCATGTCAGTATGTGTGTCCTGAGTTCAGCCTGAGAAAGTGTCCTTTCACACTTTAGGCGAAGATCAACGGTCTGCAGCATATGCAAGTGGCCTTGAGGGATCAGACAAGAGAGACAGCTCGTTCTTGTTATCATAGCTCTTGGAAGAAATGTTGTTGTTCTCATCGGCATCAATGTCCTAGAGCATCCAGCTGGCGCCGTCGGGGTGCGGGGGTATCCAAATGAATGATATTGGATACATTGTTTTAGAGCGAACAAGCTGCATCAATTTTACAGTTGTTCTTAGCGTCCCTCACCGGTATCCAGGTTTATCTCCCATTTAAGAGCCGTGAGCTCCTCCAAGATCTTTCCCATATTACGTTCAGTAAGAACAATCTGTGTACTCACAGCTCTTCCCACATTTTCGATCAAAGCAGCAAGCCTTGTGGGGTTTTGAACAGCATTCACCGCTTTCTTTAATTTCCGATAAACCAGGGCCAAGCCAGCAATTGCCCTATTATCATGTCGCCGAATAGGTAGATATCTTTAACGTCCTCAACAGACAGTCCTGCTAGGTGCACAATGAGCCACTTCTGCCCCCCTGTGTATCATGGATGCTTAGGCTTTCCCGAACCTAGGCTTCTCATTGAGAAGAGGGTGTCAGTTGCATTAAGAGTCCAGTTAATCAAATGCATAGTTCTTCTTTAGGTTTTAGAGAACAAGAGCAAGAATGAAAGGCTCTCTCAGGTTTAGAGTCAGACGAGACCAGACAAGGACATAGAAGCAGCAGCAGGGAAGATATGGGTAGGGAGAGAGTGAAAGATGCATCCGGAGCCACTGCGAGCCAAAGAGATTAATTATAACATATACATGTATAACAATGCAACAAAAAAAAAATAATAATGTGAATGAAACAGAGATTGGTTCAATGGGAAACGATTCCCACAGACACAAACCAAAATGTTTTTAGAAAGAATTCCCAGAAGAGTGGACTCTTTTATTGCCATAGATGTGGAGCCACCTCCATATTAATGTCTGTGGACTTGTAGGACTTGAATGAGTTGTAGCTGAGTTGTTAATAGTCATTATTTTCCTGTATAAATTGTTGGTCGTTACAATAAAAATTGTCAGTTAAATATATCATAGAGGAGACACATACACTAAGATATTTGAGAAGTGAAATGAAGTTCATTAGATTTACAGAAAGTGTGCAATAATTGTTTAAACAAAATCAGGCAGGTGCATACATTTTATGGAACGCCAGGACTGCCATAATGAATTAATTAAATACACCATTAAATAATTAATTAAATGTGGTAATAATTAATTAAAATTGGAAATAATTAATTACACAAATATTTATGACACATGTAATTAATTAATTATTGACACATTTAATTAATTATCGACACATTTAATTAATTATTGACACATTTAATTAATTATTTCTTTATTTCATATTTTAATTAATTATTGACACATTTAATTAATTATTTCTTTATTTCACATTTTAATTAATTATTGCACAGTTGACTCCTTCAGGTCTCACCATGAAATAATTTTATCTGTCAACCTCACCCATCAAACTCAGGGGGCGGGGCTAACGCTGATCGAGTCAAAACCATTGCTTTGGCCTGGTGGCCATTGTTTCTAGCACACAACAACCGGCATGTGGAAACTAACAGAACTGAACTTTGAAAAACCCTGTTTGTGTGTCACCAAAGACCGTTTTAATATTTTTTTAGCCGAGAATGTAGTGGTTTAATCGTCATGTGTCTGGTCGGTTTGTCAAGATACAGCCTCTTTGCAAAAGTGCTTCGATGATTTCGGAGATGTCTGCCCAGTCTCACGGCAAAGCGTGGATAGACCCCGCTCGCCTCGCAAGCAATCCCACCGACAAAGCGCAGGCCCTGGTACACAGCTGTAATAACCCACGCTGACACTGATTTCTTTTACTGAGGTTATTTTTACCGGGGTTTTATTTCCTGATGTTCGTATGTGTCCTACGTGTTTCAGTTGCCAATTCTGAATTATAACTAACATTAAAAACATGTTTAAAGGACCGGATACAGCATTCATACAGACGTATAAATTCGCCGTGGTCTGGACAATTTGAATCCTTTATACAAAAGAACCTAACAGACAAAAACAATGAACCATAAACACAAATAAATTCAGGAAGCATAAAAGAACTGAACTGAAGAACACTTGAACTTAAATTCCCTTCATCGCTGCAAAGGAAAGAATGATGAATCCGAAATGAACTCAAAGTGCTCTGTCAAAGACTCAGGACCATGATGCACACAGTGCATGTTCTTGACCTCAGTTTTGACACAGGGTGCAACACTTTCTAAACCGATTATGTTAACTTGTCACTCCATCAACATATTGATTGCATATTATTATAATCAAAGAAAATTAGATTACAAGAAGATACATGAAATTTGTTGTTTATGAAATAAATATAGCTATGATCTTTTTACTCTGATGTAATGAGTGTAACTGTGGGAAACTGAGCGGCGTTGTGTGTATTTCCATGTTCAACTTTATTCTTCTTCCTTCTCAAAATAAAATTCCTCCAACAAGTTCCTGGTGTTGCAGCGTTTTCGTTGCAGTCTAACATATTAATCTTCCTTTATTTGGACCCAGAGGCAGGTGGATTTTTTGATTTTCAGCAGGAGATTCTTTCATCCTGTCCAAATGCACATCACATCAGATAGAAACGCTCGGGAAAATCTCGGGTAAGTCTGAATATGGCATAGTTTGTGGAATGATTAGACCAGCATGCAAGCTGAAGTGTGTCAATGGTGGCAGGAAGTGATGAAGTGATGTGGTCTCTCATCAGTCTCTCAAAACATAATCACCGTGGCAAGCGGGCTGTTGTTTCCTTGGGACAGGGACAATGATGGACTATTTGAAGCCTGTGGGAACCACTGCTTCGGTCAGGGAGAGGTTGAAGATCTCTGTGAACACTGGTGCTAGCTGGTCAGGACTAGTGATGTGTCGGTGTTGTGTTCTGTAATGTTTATATCATATTGCACCACTAGAGGGTGGTGTTGCAAAATAAGAGTAAAGCAGAGCCGGAAGAAGTTTAGAAGAGAGAGATAGAATACAGTTAGATGGCTAGCTGATAACTGATGTGTGTCACTGCTATCCCTTGGATGTTAGTCTGTGCTGAATTCATTAAAGAGCACTGTTCTTCATGAGGACTGGTTATTACCGGCCACCATTACAGTCGGTCGCGAACAAAATGGCTCTTAGAGCCGGATCTTTGACGTGAACACAAGCCTTATAGCGAACCGTGTTTTTTTTTTCTTTCTCTCACCCTCTCTCTCTCTCAATTTTTTTTTTGCTTCACTCCGCATGCAAGCCTTGTGCTTGCGCTGGGAAGAGGTGGGAGGGGCGGTAGTTACAGTCGCAGTAACACAGGAACAGAGCGGGAGGGAGAGACAGAGAAAGAGAGCAAGGGACAACAACATCACATTAGAAAGGTATAGTAATCATACACAACTATTGTCAGTTGTGGATGATAAAGGATACAGAAAGTTTATTCATGCAGGCCCATATGAGAGAGAATGTGCATCTTCTTTTTGTTTTCATATTTTTATTTATATTTAATTGTGTTGTGGTTTGCAGTGTTTTGTGTTGTTTCACTTTAAATTTGTTTAAAAGAAAAAAGCTGAAAATTTAAATAGTTAAAAGTTGAAATGTGAATAGTTGGTTTTTGTATTATATGATTTATTTATTACATTTTAAGTGGAGTGAATGAATAAAAGTATATTTACGGTGGCCCCTAGAGACAAAGCACGTACAAACTTCAAAACACGTACAAAATCTGAAGCACGTACAAACCCCGAAGCACGTACGAACTTCAAAACACGTACAAAATGCAAAGCACGTACAAACCCCGAAGCACGTACAAACTCCAAAACACGTAAAAACTCAGAC